AACAAATAAATGGGTCTAGAAGCATGACGAAGTTTATGAAAAGGTGAAAAATTCGGAAAAAAAAAACAAAACGCCAGGCTTAATTTCAGAATGTACCCGCTAAACATATCACCCTAAAATCCTACAAGTTCTCTCAGAAGTTTCAGGGAATTGAAGCAAACTCAAGCTCCATTCATCTTTCCAAGATGTGTTTTTTCTGTCCGTTGAGCAATAGCATAACAATAGCTAATTTAGTTTTCGCTAAAAAGCGGATAAGAAGCAAAACGCACAGGATTGTTTCACAGCGACGGAATCGGCTTTTCCAGTAACATCACTTTTAGAGCAATGTGCTAGGATATCTTCTAGTGATGCCAGCTCTTCCTCCCACTTTGTCGCCTTTTTTCGCCACTCTTCAAGTCCGATTTTCACATCCTCGCATTCCTGTAAAATGATTTCCGTACTGAGTAATGTAACCAACTGTTCGCTTATGTAGTCCACATTTTTATTTTCTGAAATATTTGCACGTCAACGAATCTCTGCGCCAGGGCAACTCATCTCTTTTCAGCCTGATGCTTTTGTTCAAAATTTTTGAATTTCTATTAAAAATCTTGCAGGTGGTTTTTGGGAGAAGGGAGAAGAATGAACGTCGAATGTTAAAGACAGAGAGAGCAATGGAGTGAGCGGAAGATGTTTAGGGTGTCTCTTTGTGACCATGTAAACAATCAGACTCTTCGTCAGACGAGCAGCGTGCAGGATATCATAGCGCTCACGCGAGAAAGTGAAATCTGATATGAAGGAGTCTTGATCGATTTGGACGTCGCATACTAAGTGACTAATTTTGCGGAAAAATGAACGACTGAGGTAGAAGTGACACATTATATGCGAAAAACACGGCGATACTATCTGGAAATAGGCAACTCAGGCATCGAAAGGAGGAAGTTTCTGACAGCATTCAAGCACCATCTGTAACATGAGATCCCGTACCGATCATCCGCGTAGCCTTGGCATTCTTGGTATTCCTAGGTAAAATTTTTACGCTACGATTCAGTTTACGAATGGCTAGAACCGAAGTACACACAAGCTGCATCAGCCCTGCAGTGCTTCAGTTTTTCTCCCAGAGTCGAGGAGAGAAAACGAGGGAATGACTGCTAAAATTACAAGAAGGCTAGCCACAACTTTGGCCAGAGGATTCATGATTAGAAGTCAAAAATTTTTCTTTATAAAAATATGATAAACTACAAGAGTATGAATCTCTAAGACTTTTTTATCCTAACATATCCAAAAAAATTTTAAACCTTTTAAT